CCCTTGTTGGTTCTGGCCACAATAAATTCGTAATCCAAACGCACCAATTTGTTAATTTTCCTTAATACTTATTCTGCCTTTTTTAAAAATAAAATTGAAAATATCTATTATAAGCGATTTTTCTCACCCCACAAAAAGTACAAAAGAAAACCCAGTGAGCGCAAACGTTTCAACAGCTCGCAAAAGCAGTTAATGGGTTGAAATCTGGTTCAGCATTTGTGGGGAAGAGAACTCACGCCATATCTGTTCTCACTCCTCGATTATTCTCTGAATTTCATATCTTTTCAAAATGGACTTGGCCGCGAAGCTTCACCACTTAGACCTCACCGGCGCGGTCATCTTGGATGCACGAAAGCCCACCGTGCTACGCCACCTTCCCCCACGCGTCACCACCAGAGCGAACACCAACAACACTAACATCAGCACCAATCTAATTTACACCAACCGCTTCTCGAGCCCATTGCGGCCCAATTCCGCTTCCTCTTCGGGCCTGACAACTGTAACAGTCGACGAAGATATCGAGTCTCTCTTCTCCGAAACCTCCTCGGAGGAGCCGCGGCGCAGAGGGAAGCAGCAGAGTAGCGGCGCGTCGGGCGTGTCGTCGGGGGTGAAGCTTGAAAACGTGGGGAAGGCGTACAAGGGCGTGACAGTGTTGAAGGACGTGAGTTGGGAGGTGAAGAAGGGGGAGAAGGTGGGTTTGGTTGGCGTGAACGGAGCGGGCAAGACGACGCAGATGAGGATTATCGCGGGATTGGAGGAGCCGGATTATGGGAACGTCATAAAGGCTAAGCCGAACATGAAAATCGCGTTTCTGAATCAGGAGTTCGAGGTGTCGCTGAGCAGGACAGTGAGGGAGGAGTTCATGAGCGCGTTCAAGGAGGAAATGGAGGTGGCGGGGAAATTGGAGAGGGTCCAGAAGGCGCTCGAGGGTGCTGTCAACGATTTGGAATTGATGGGAAGGCTTTTGGATGAGTTTGATTTGCTTCAGCGGAGGGCTCAGTCTGTGGACCTCGATGAGGTTGACGCGAAAATAAATAAGTTGGTGCCTGAACTTGGCTTTTCTCCCGAGGATTCTGATAGGTTGGTTGCGTCTTTCAGTGGAGGCTGGCAGATGAGAATGTGTCTTGGAAAGATTCTACTCCAGGTACGGTTGAATTCACGTTGGATTGTTCAGAATCGCTTTGCTATGTTGATGTAGATTTTGTGTAACATGTTGGGTTTTAGGAAGTAACTCTAACTAGTGTAATAGTTGGATAAAAAAGTTTGTTGTAAATTTTTCTGGTAACTTATTTTTAGAATGAAAACGTCCAAATACAAATCCCATCACTTCATAATCAAATATAACCAAAATGAATTGTACAAACGCTTGCCATTGGTTGGATGTCGCAAAACATTGATCCATGTTAAGCAGAACGCAACTATTTGTATGTTTAAGATTGAAAACATCCAAACATAAGTCACATTATTTCAAAATCAATTTTACAAAGGTTTACTGAGCTGTCCAATTAGTTAAAGTGTATGATTGGTTTGATGTCTCGTAACATTGCACCCATGGTAAGCTGCAAGCTACTATTTGTTTCTTTTGTGGTTTATTTTGGTTTGAGCTGAAAAATTTAGAATACGTTATAGGTAATTCTAAAATAGCTGATTCAGAATACATGATATTTCACAACATGCTGCTATTTTTGTCTAGGGTATGTGTATATTTGAACGTTGACACACGCTTCATTGTCAAGAAAGGAATAATTTAATTACCTAGGTGATAAAATGTCTCGATGGTTACGTTATTTTGTTGTGTAGATGATGTGGGTGAGTGTTACAAGTGTTGTTGATAAGAATGGGAACCTGTGTTTGGTTTCAGGAGCCTGATTTATTGCTGTTAGATGAGCCCACAAATCACCTTGATCTTGACACCATTGAGTGGCTTGAGGAGTATCTTAACCAGCAGGATGTGCCAATGGTTATCATTTCCCATGACCGAGCTTTCCTTGATCAACTGTGTACAAAAATTGTGGAAACTGACATGGGTGTGTCCAGGACGTTTGAGGGAAATTATTCGCAGTATGTAATTTCAAAAGCAGCATGGATTGAAGCACAGTATGCTGCTTGGGAGAAGCAGCAGAAAGAAATTGAGCATACAAGAGACTTGATAGGTAGATTAAGTGCTGGAGCAAATTCTGGCCGTGCTTCATCTGCTGGGAAGGTATACGTCAAAAATCTACTTTCCCAATAGCTTAAAAGGTTGTTCATGGATGATTTTATATTTAACATGCCCTTCATGCCAGAGTTCTCTGGGCTTGAAATGGACAAGGTATGGTGGACTTGTAGGCTTCATAATACCTTGGGAGAGTTCATAATAATATGTCAAGAATCAACTCTCCCAAAGTTCATAAATGGTTTTATTCTAACAAAGTATAAGGCAACATTATGTAGTAGGCAGTTGAGATGACATATAAACACAATGCTTGTGTTAGCTGCTCTGCTTAGATTAGTTTCATTGCATCCTTCTGCTTCAAATATTTTAATGTCGTGTTCTTTTATTTGCTTAAAAGAATTTCCTTTCTTTTTGCATGGCAACAGAAGCTGGAGAGACTCCAGGAAGAGGAACTGGTGGAGAAGCCATTTGAACGCAAACAGATGAAAATCAGGTTCCCTGAGCGCGGAAAGAGTGGAAGATCTGTTGTAACAATTAGGAACTTGGAATTTGGCTTTGAGGATAAGGTTAGATATCAAGATCTCATTATTGAAAACCTTAGCATTAAAATGTGGACTATCTTTATGTTATGTGATATCAACTGATCATGCTTTTCTGTGCCAGCCACTTTTCAAAAAGGCAAATCTTACAATTGAAAGGGGAGAAAAAATTGCGATTATTGGTCCAAATGGTTGTGGCAAGAGTTCTTTACTGAAATTGATTATGGGTTTGGAAAAGCCAACTGGGGGTGAAGTTTTGCTTGGGGAGCATAATGTGTTACCTAACTATTTTGAGCAGAATCAGGTGTGCCACTTAAATCAGTGAAATGCTAATTGTAATTAAACTGATGAATGTGCTATCAGTTCCAGTTTTTCTTGTCAAAATTTGCATGGTTAAAATGTTTTTAATTCTGACTTCATTTGTTTAACAGGCTGAGGCGCTTGATCTAGACAAGACAGTGCTTGAGACAGTAGAGGAAGCAGCAGAGGACTGGAGGATTGACGATATTAAAGGACTTCTTGGGCGTTGTAATTTTAAATATGATATGCTTGACCGAAAAGTTTCACTATTGAGTGGTGGTGAGAAGGTAAATTCAAGATTTGTGTCATCCTTTTTCAGTTGACATGTATTTAGAGTTTCTGAGCCTTTAGAGATGTTTGAACTGTTATTGTTTGAGTAAAAGATTGGAGATGATGGCACTTGAAGAAATATAAGAATCAAGAAAATTTGAATTTGCTAAATGATATTAAGACAGTCTTCAACCTCATCATTACGAGATTTACTGGGGTGATTACCAATCCCAGTAAATGTTTTTAGTAATCTCAGGTGTCATGAACTGTGTACATCAAGAATAGTATATGGACGAATTGTTCTAATTTTTGTTGGTCGTGACTTACTGGCATATATATAATTTTTAATTTGCTTGTGGCATTGCAATGTTACGCTCTTTCACACTGTGTATGATGCTGCAAAATTATTTGGATTTATCTTGTCTCATGTTTTACTAGGCACGGCTGGCTTTTTGCAAGTTCATGGTTAAACCATCAACTCTGCTTGTGTTGGATGAACCCACCAATCACTTGGATATACCTTCTAAAGAAATGCTTGAGGTATGTGGCACTTTGTTGTCTGCTTTTTCCTTATAAAAATCTTATTGTCAGTTATCGGCCTAATAATGTTTACTTCTACTCACAGGAGGCAATAAGTGAATACGAGGGCACCGTTATCACAGTATCTCATGACAGATACTTCATAAAGCAAATAGTTAACAGGGTCATAGAAATTAAAGATGGCACTATACAGGATTATGCAGGTGATTACGATGTAAGTTAATCGATCCCTTGATCCCTTCTCTACCCCTCCCCGTCTTATTGAGTGTGATAGTAAACAATTTATTTTTGTTTTATATTTTAATNAATTAATTATTGATATAGAATAACAACCCGAAACTGGAAGCATTAATCATAATACCAAACAGCAGTCAATATTTCTGAGATCTTAAATCGTGCCTATCAACTTATTGACAATTTCCACATACACTTTAGGTGTGTAATTTGTAAGCATGTGTTATTGTAAGCTGCTCTCTGTATCAAGTTATTGTCATCTTCAAAATGCGAAGGATGTTAAGCGCAACAGCGGCTAGTTTTTAGAATCTATCTGAATTCAATCCTAGACAGACAAGCTTTCAAAGTGAAATTATATTGGCTTTACGAACACATCGGATATGAATATCCGATAGATTTTCTTTTGGATATGGACATCCGACGTACGTAGAATCAGATATGGAAGATGAGGTGTAGAGTTTTTTAATAAATCAGAAATGAAGGTGCAGGATGAAAAGTTTATTAATAGAAAATCACTTTATTAATTAAGGGTATTTTAGAAAATTAGAGGTGCGGATGCAAAATTTGGAGGTGCAGATGAAACACCCACCAAGGTCGCTTTTTCGGCTGTTTGTTTAGCCCTAATAGATGTGCTAAAAAAAAAAAAAGGGTCAGAATTTTGGTTGTTTACGGCGGTGGACGTGGACTGAAGAGAACGAATGCGAGCCACACACGGAGACACGCGTCACGAAAAGAGAGGGCCGTTTTGAGCTACTTTTCACCACATATAATCCCAGGATCCTTATCTATCTGAAATCTCTTGTCCGATTTTTCTATCTCCCTTGTTAGTTCTGGCCACAATAAATTCGTAATCCAAACGCACCAATTTGTTAATTTTCCTTAATACTTATTCTGCCTTTTTTAAAAATAAAATTGAAAATATCTATTATAAGCGATTTTTCTCACCCCACAAAAAGTACAAAAGAAAACCCAGTGAGCGCAAACGTTTCAACAGCTCGCAAAAGCAGTTAATGGGTTGAAATCTGGTTCAGCATTTGTGGGGAAGAGAACTCACGCCATATCTGTTCTCACTCCTCGATTATTCTCTGAATTTCATATCTTTTCAAAATGGACTTGGCCGCGAAGCTTCACCACTTAGACCTCACCGGCGCGGTCATCTTGGATGCACGAAAGCCCACCGTGCTACGCCACCTTCCCCCACGCGTCACCACCAGAGCGAACACCAACAACACTAACATCAGCACCAATCTAATTTACACCAACCGCTTCTCGAGCCCATTGCGGCCCAATTCCGCTTCCTCTTCGGGCCTGACAACTGTAACAGTCGACGAAGATATCGAGTCTCTCTTCTCCGAAACCTCCTCGGAGGAGCCGCGGCGCAGAGGGAAGCAGCAGAGTAGCGGCGCGTCGGGCGTGTCGTCGGGGGTGAAGCTTGAAAACGTGGGGAAGGCGTACAAGGGCGTGACAGTGTTGAAGGACGTGAGTTGGGAGGTGAAGAAGGGGGAGAAGGTGGGTTTGGTTGGCGTGAACGGAGCGGGCAAGACGACGCAGATGAGGATTATCGCGGGATTGGAGGAGCCGGATTATGGGAACGTCATAAAGGCTAAGCCGAACATGAAAATCGCGTTTCTGAATCAGGAGTTCGAGGTGTCGCTGAGCAGGACAGTGAGGGAGGAGTTCATGAGCGCGTTCAAGGAGGAAATGGAGGTGGCGGGGAAATTGGAGAGGGTCCAGAAGGCGCTCGAGGGTGCTGTCAACGATTTGGAATTGATGGGAAGGCTTTTGGATGAGTTTGATTTGCTTCAGCGGAGGGCTCAGTCTGTGGACCTCGATGAGGTTGACGCGAAAATAAATAAGTTGGTGCCTGAACTTGGCTTTTCTCCCGAGGATTCTGATAGGTTGGTTGCGTCTTTCAGTGGAGGCTGGCAGATGAGAATGTGTCTTGGAAAGATTCTACTCCAGGTACGGTTGAATTCACGTTGGATTGTTCAGAATCGCTTTGCTATGTTGATGTAGATTTTGTGTAACATGTTGGGTTTTAGGAAGTAACTCTAACTAGTGTAATAGTTGGATAAAAAAGTTTGTTGTAAATTTTTCTGGTAACTTATTTTTAGAATGAAAACGTCCAAATACAAATCCCATCACTTCATAATCAAATATAACCAAAATGAATTGTACAAACGCTTGCCATTGGTTGGATGTCGCAAAACATTGATCCATGTTAAGCAGAACGCAACTATTTGTATGTTTAAGATTGAAAACATCCAAACATAAGTCACATTATTTCAAAATCAATTTTACAAAGGTTTACTGAGCTGTCCAATTAGTTAAAGTGTATGATTGGTTTGATGTCTCGTAACATTGCACCCATGGTAAGCTGCAAGCTACTATTTGTTTCTTTTGTGGTTTATTTTGGTTTGAGCTGAAAAATTTAGAATACGTTATAGATAATTCTAAAATAGCTGATTCAGAATACATGATATTTCACAACATGCTGCTATTTTTGTCTAGGGTATGTGTATATTTGAACGTTGACACACGCTTCATTGTCAAGAAAGGAATAATTTAATTACCTAGGTGATAAAATGTCTCGATGGTTACGTTATTTTGTTGTGTAGATGATGTGGGTGAGTGTTACAAGTGTTGTTGATAAGAATGGGAACCTGTGTTTGGTTTCAGGAGCCTGATTTATTGCTGTTAGATGAGCCCACAAATCACCTTGATCTTGACACCATTGAGTGGCTTGAGGAGTATCTTAACCAGCAGGATGTGCCAATGGTTATCATTTCCCATGACCGAGCTTTCCTTGATCAACTGTGTACAAAAATTGTGGAAACTGACATGGGTGTGTCCAGGACGTTTGAGGGAAATTATTCGCAGTATGTAATTTCAAAAGCAGCATGGATTGAAGCACAGTATGCTGCTTGGGAGAAGCAGCAGAAAGAAATTGAGCATACAAGAGACTTGATAGGTAGATTAAGTGCTGGAGCAAATTCTGGCCGTGCTTCATCTGCTGGGAAGGTATACGTCAAAAATCTACTTTCCCAATAGCTTAAAAGGTTGTTCATGGATGATTTTATATTTAACATGCCCTTCATGCCAGAGTTCTCTGGGCTTGAAATGGACAAGGTATGGTGGACTTGTAGGCTTCATAATACCTTGGGAGAGTTCATAATAATATGTCAAGAATCAACTCTCCCAAAGTTCATAAATGGTTTTATTCTAACAAAGTATAAGGCAACATTATGTAGTAGGCAGTTGAGATGACATATAAACACAATGCTTGTGTTAGCTGCTCTGCTTAGATTAGTTTCATTGCATCCTTCTGCTTCAAATATTTTAATGTCGTGTTCTTTTATTTGCTTAAAAGAATTTCCTTTCTTTTTGCATGGCAACAGAAGCTGGAGAGACTCCAGGAAGAGGAACTGGTGGAGAAGCCATTTGAACGCAAACAGATGAAAATCAGGTTCCCTGAGCGCGGAAAGAGTGGAAGATCTGTTGTAACAATTAGGAACTTGGAATTTGGCTTTGAGGATAAGGTTAGATATCAAGATCTCATTATTGAAAACCTTAGCATTAAAATGTGGACTATCTTTATGTTATGTGATATCAACTGATCATGCTTTTCTGTGCCAGCCACTTTTCAAAAAGGCAAATCTTACAATTGAAAGGGGAGAAAAAATTGCGATTATTGGTCCAAATGGTTGTGGCAAGAGTTCTTTACTGAAATTGATTATGGGTTTGGAAAAGCCAACTGGGGGTGAAGTTTTGCTTGGGGAGCATAATGTGTTACCTAACTATTTTGAGCAGAATCAGGTGTGCCACTTAAATCAGTGAAATGCTAATTGTAATTAAACTGATGAATGTGCTATCAGTTCCAGTTTTTCTTGTCAAAATATGCATGGTTAAAATGTTTTTAATTCTGACTTCATTTGTTTAACAGGCTGAGGCGCTTGATCTAGACAAGACAGTGCTTGAGACAGTAGAGGAAGAAGCAGAGGACTGGAGGATTGACGATATTAAAGGACTTCTTGGGCGTTGTAATTTTAAATATGATATGCTTGACCGAAAAGTTTCACTATTGAGTGGTGGTGAGAAGGTAAATTCAAGATTTGTGTCATCCTTTTTCAGTTGACATGTATTTAGAGTTTCTGAGCCTTTAGAGATGTTTGAACTGTTATTGTTTGAGTAAAAGATTGGAGATGATGGCACTTGAAGAAATATAAGAATCAAGAAAATTTGAATTTGCTAAATGATATTAAGACAGTCTTCAACCTCATCATTACGAGATTTACTGGGGTGATTACCAATCCCAGTAAATGTTTTTAGTAATCTCAGGTGTCATGAACTGTGTACATCAAGAATAGTATATGGACGAATTGTTCTAATTTTTGTTGGTCGTGACTTACTGGCATATATATAATTTTTAATTTGCTTGTGGCATTGCAATGTTACGCTCTTTCACACTGTGTATGATGCTGCAAAATTATTTGGATTTATCTTGTCTCATGTTTTACTAGGCACGGCTGGCTTTTTGCAAGTTCATGGTTAAACCATCAACTCTGCTTGTGTTGGATGAACCCACCAATCACTTGGATATACCTTCTAAAGAAATGCTTGAGGTATGTGGCACTTTGTTGTCTGCTTTTTCCTTATAAAAATCTTATTGTCAGTTATCGGCCTAATAATGTTTACTTCTACTCACAGGAGGCAATAAGTGAATACGAGGGCACCGTTATCACAGTATCTCATGACAGATACTTCATAAAGCAAATAGTTAACAGGGTCATAGAAATTAAAGATGGCACTATACAGGATTATGCAGGTGATTACGATGTAAGTTAATCGATCCCTTGATCCCTTCTCTACCCCTCCCCGTCTTATTGAGTGTGATAGTAAACAATTTATTTTTGTTTTATATTTTAATATCAAAGTTGGTTAAAATGGGTTACCTTTATTCACGATGCAGTTGGTCCTAGGAACTCAATGATCATCAGCACGATATGATTTTTAGTCGTATTAATCTTTTAAAAACTTTTCGATGTTTGGATAATTTAAGTGATTTGGAGTTTAATATTATCTAAGATGCTTTAGATGATCTAAATTCTATCATAGTATCCCTTGCTTGGTCCTCATTTCTCTAATATGTTATCCCTGTTCCCATTTCTATTATCTTCTTGTTCATATATAGTCTCATATGTATAGACACATCATATCTTAAAATTAGGGTAAAACTGTAAAACACTTTTTCCTCTCAGATTTTTTTCACCTCCTTTGGGACCCTCGGATTATTTTCTAATTTAGCCATTTTAGTCCTTCCTGCATGAATTCTATTTCAATTTCATTTCTCAGCAAGGGACTTGACATTTTCACTAACTTATTAGGATTTTCAAATTGACAAATTTTGACAAATTAAAATAATATAATAAAGAAAACAGCCTTCTAGATCCTTTCTCGTTTTGTTGCAGTCCTTCTCCCTTCAAGTGGAATGATGTCGGAACCAAAATGAAAGCAAGATATGTAATGGGCCAAAATGATACTGGGTATACAAAATGGTACTGCGAATACATCTAATGCGGGATCTAAATGAAAATAATAAGTATGACGTTGGATTTGAGAGGGTCCAAAATAGTGTTTTATACTTTAAATTTATGTTCGTATGATATTACTATAACTTCGTGATCATTGAATTGTAATATGTTTGCTTCAGGTACAGCTCGTTTAAATATTATATCGCATGACTTATTATTGGTTTTAACATGTTTGAATCTCAAAAAATTGCAGTATTATTTAGAGAAGAATCTCGATGCTATGGAAAGAGAAATTGAACGTGAGGCAGAGCTTGATAGCAAAGCTCCTAAAGTGAAAGCGAAATCCAAGATGTCGAAGGTGAACTTTTGTTAGTTTGTAAACACTTAAATCCATGAGATGAGGCGATTACTACCAGTAGTTATAAATTCATATATGTTTTTTGCAATAACAGGCTGAGAAAGAAGCACGGAAGAAGCAAAAAATGCAGGCGTTTCAGGCCGCAAAACAGAAGTCTAAAGGTGTGAAAAATTCGAAGAGATGGAATTGAGTAAAGCATTTAAGTTTTAGAGTAATTTAGCAGAAGGTTATGTAGCACATTTGGGTTAGCTACACAGCCTTTGTATATTCATGTATCAATTGACTAACTCATTTACGGGAAATATAGAAGGTTGTTACCCCCATTCATCCCATGTTGTGTTTCTCCATTGCGATACCACGATACCTATATATATATATATATATATATATATATATATATTAAATATTAATTTAATTTCTATTTTTTATCGATTTTGTTAACTCAGTCCTAATATATTTTTCAAAAAGTCTTAATTTTTGTCAATTTTATTTAATATAGTCTTTTTTACTAACGTTGCATATAATTAAGAGATAATAAACAATGTATGTACTATGTGGTTTTTTTAACTTATTAATTTAAGAAAAAATGTGTCCATGTCAAGTTACTATACGTGACTAGTCACCGTCAATAATCCGTGTCAAAATATTTAATTTGATTTTTATATTATTATTATTTTTAATTTAAATCTTAATTTATTTAAAAATTAAACAATTTGTCAGTTTTTAAATTGAAGTTAAATTAAATTTTTACATAAATATTTTACTGATTTTTAGATTAAATTATTTAATTGTTAATTAACCTTAAAATCACATAAAATATTAAATAATTTATGTTACTTTTAATTTCATAAAATTTTTAACTCATAGTATTAGTTTTCACTTATAAAATTTTTATTCTAATTTTAAACCAACTCTAATCTTAAATTAGAAATATTTCATAAAAATATAAACTTTAATAAAAATATAGTATAAACATTTAATAAATTGTTGTTTGAATTATTGAATATGGTGTAATTTGAATTGGATATATGTATTGATTGTTAGGCTAAACTTGTAAAGTTGAGACTTACATATTTATATAATTATGTTCTGTCTCGTTGGGTAAGACTATACTTGTTAGGCAAAGTCAAAGTTAGAGTGGCTATTGATTTGGTAGTCGTTAGATCAGAATATACTTACTAGGCAAAACCAAATAACTCACTAACTTGATAGTTGTTGGACGAGACAAGTCTCGTTGGACGATTTTTGTGAAAATTTAAGTTTGTGAGTATTAGTGATAATCCCATTGGGTGACCAATTTGGTTGTTGAACGAGTGTGCTTTTAGGCACTACTCGTTGATTGAATATATATTCTTCATGAACGAAATTAACAAAGTCTAACTCTATTTTTATATTTCTCTTCTGGTTTGTTTAATGTGTGATTTTGTAAATGGTAATATGATGGTTGGTTTATAATGTTTATCTAAGAATGGTTGGTACCAATCCGAGGAGGATTGGTTGTGGTTTTGTTAATGTAGACATTGAGATATGGAGAAAAGTGGTATCCTAAACTCTAATAACCATTCACACTCAAATAAAATATAATGAGTTATGTGGTGAGAGTCATAGGAAGTTCTAACCATTGGAATGCTAGTCCTAGGCACGAAGGGGACTAACCTTATAAGTGATAGGGTGATACTTTCTTTTGTTTATGACTCTATTGAGCATAAATACCACTACAAGTGTACGCGTACATTAAAGCCCTATATCAACAATATGTATCCGGATAATTGAGTCTAGTGTTAACTGTAAATATATGACTTTTGTGTTATACGTATTTAGTTTATAAATTGGTATATTTTGATTAAATTAGGCCAAATCTTTTGTACATTAACTTATCTTTTTACTCTTTTGTGTTTTGTTGTGTTTTTGCGATGATTACTTTAGATAGGTGATGATATGCCTTTAATGGAAGATCAGGATGCGATGGAGTAGTTTTGTAACTTTCTTTAGTGTTTTTGTGTAAGAGTTATTTCCTTTTTGAAAAGATCGTGTAGTTCTTAGTTGACGTTGTATATATTATATTACTATAATTATTATGGTAAAATTTTATTAATTTTATAATGTTTTATCTAACAATTTTATACTATTAAACAAAAATATTACTATTAAGATTAGTTTTTATTATATTGAATATAATAAAAATAATTTTATATATAAATTTAAGAAAAATAAAAATTGAAAATTATGAAATAATGGAAAACTGACAACTTAAAATATAATATTATTTTATTTCTTGTTTGTGTGTAATCTTCAATGTCATTTTAAATTCATAACAATTAAGTTTTAGCACTGTGACATCCCAATATTATACTTCATGCAGGTATAAAAATTAAGACGTCAACATAGATGATAATAGAAAACAGTTAGAATAATAAAATAGCAAATAAGGTTCTAAGAAATTAAAATTTAAGGATTACAGTAATCCGGAATGTAAAAGAAATTTTAAAACGTAAAATACTAAAGAACTTCAAAATACAAGAACTAGAATTGTTCAGATACAAGGAAAGTTATGGAATTTCTAAAGAGACTAAGAAGTTGCTTCCTCATTCCCCTCCAGGACATTCTCCACTGAGGCCTCATTCTCCACTGAGGCCTCATTCTCCTCTGCTCACATCCAAGTGGATGATCATTGCAAAAGAAAAAGCATGCAACAAACACAAACACAAACAAGCAAGGGTGAGCTAATTATATAAGATTATGCAACTCAATTTAAGCATATACATAAAGAAATAACTCACCAATTAAATTCAGAAATACGACCTAAGCATGTTAATTTCTAGACTTGACTCGTCCGGACTTTAAAATGATAGTCGGGCTATGGCGAGTCTTGCAACCGTGGTGACTTATGATACTTGGGTTCCCCACCCTGCCACACTCACGAGGTTAGTCCGTTCCGCGCCTTGAGGCATACTGGGAGCCCCCAAGACTAAGGACCTCCTGCTACTCCTCACCACATGATTCAACCTCTCTAAGTGAGTATGATTGACCATTGGAGCGTCAGAATGACTCCCAAGGCTAAGCCCCTACTTTTCATTTTAAAACACTAAGAATCTCACCAAGAGATTCTACATTTGAAACTATCATAAGCAACCATGAAATCCTGTTTTCAGTCTTTCCCCAATTCACACACCTTTGAAGTATAATCAAACCACATATTTAAGCCTTAAATATCAAATCATATATAACAGAACATGTTCCTCAACCAATTTCAATCATCTCTGATAAACGATATTGTCATGTTATTACCAAACAGTAAGATAAAAAGTATAAATTATATGTAAAAATAATAATAGCATAATCTCTGAAAACTAAAACAACTTTATCACTGCAAATTTAATATACTGGATGAAATAATAAATAAATAAAAAAAAAGAAAACAGCTTACATCTTATTCTTTTGATAGATTCATAAAAACATAATACACATATATATATCAACATATATATTACGTTACTTATATATATTATATATATTACGTTAGTTATAATACATTATATATATAACGTTTCCTATCTATATTATATATATATATTACGTTACTGTAAATATTTATATTTATAATATTAAACTAAGATTTATATATATATATATATATATATAAAATCTATACATTAATAATATAATATAATATCATATAATATAATATCATATGTATTATCTCTAAATAACTTACAATGTTCCTTTAATTATGAAACTGCTTGCTAAACTTTTCATTACCACAAAATATTTGTTCTCTACTTCACATCGCTACCCAATTGGTCACCGGAGAGGGTTCAGATGTCTGAACGCATCAGACTCACCTTCGGCGCTAGCACATATGACTAGTCACAACTGACTGGACCAGGCCAGGGCTGCTCTATGATCAGGGATGCGCCAACTCAGGTTTTTAAGTTCCCTCTATCCTACCAACAAAGAAAGGCTCTCCACTAATTTTAATTAATTTATTTAAGTTACCTAAACCAATCTGTTGTGCTCTAAACCTCAATTGCCAATTTTACATATATATATATATATATATATATATATAT